CGTATGGACGGCTACCGCGGACACCCCGTGCGACACACAGTACCAATACTTCAAGCCCCGCATCATACTGAACGGACTCAAGGAGAACAATATCCATACGGTGGTGTTGTGCACATCGGACACGGTTTGCCAGTGGTGGGATAATTTCTTCCGCTCTAACAAGTGGGACCCCAGCCAAGGTGACTACTCCGTACAGCTCACAAACTCGTCTGCCCAAAACGTTTCGGACGGAATCGTTAGAGCTGTCGACGACATCAACTGTATAGTCAAAACCACCACCACCGCACGGCCTGATACGACTGCGACCTCATCCGAGTCAACTACCCCCACCTCATCTGAGTCGACTGCCCCCACCTCATCTGAGTCGACTACCCCCACCTCATCTGAGTCAACTGCCCCCACCTCATCTGAGTCGACTACCCCCACTTCATCTGAGTCAACTACCCCCACCACCTCGACCACCGTCTCGACCACCACCTCGACCACCATCTCGACCACCACCTCGACCACCACCTCGACCACCACCTCGAAACCCAAGAATAAGACCCCAGTCGTGATTGGGAGCGCAGCGGCCGGAGCACTGGCGTTATTGTTAGGTGGCGTGGGTGCCTATCGACAGATGCGCGGCGTAGCTTCGGAACTATCTTTCAAGGAAGAGGAGGGCCTGGGCGGCTACGAAGACGACGACGTTCAAAGGGAGGCCATTGTGGGAGTGGACGAGCACCAGTTTACGTAGACGAAACGAACACGATCTAGACACGGCGCCGATTGTGGGCGAGCTTACAGCGCCTTTCCGCAACGGACTCTTTTATGGGTTGCAAATCCGTGTGCTACGTGTGAAGTTGAACCGCATCAAGATCGTTCCGCCAGAGCAGAACTCCTTCCTCTATGCTACTCTGAGGTTGTAACTTGTGGCTGCTACTTCTCGTTTGAATTTGCGGTTGTAGCTTGTCGATTTAACTTGTCGTTGAAAAAATGTGCCGTCGTCGGGAATGAAACTAATCCTGCTACTTGCCATTAGCCTTGGGGCTGCGAAGGACGAGTATGAGTGTCTTGGTGTACCTGTGAGACTGTGGGTTCATCAAGGATGGCGCAAGTCTTCGTTCGGGGATATAATTGCGAATAGTGATGAGTATACCCGATGGGCTGATGAACTCCACAACAACATTGGTGATTTTGATTTTGGCTTTTCCACATTTATGGATCGTCTGGATGGGTGCTCAGACGAATTGACCGATCTTACAACGCAAATGTGGTTGGTGAAGATGGAAGCGTTCAGTGTGACTATAGGCTCCAGATCCCAAGAGCCGAATAAAAGTGATGATGGTCCGGAGGATTCTCTCTCCGATATTCCCTACATTTTGAATACGGATATCATGGAGTATGTGGAGTCCCAGCTGAAGATTTTCGTTATAGTTACAGATGACTACGGAAA